CGTAGCCGCTCCCAAGTAGTTACTTGTTGCTGGAAAGCCTCGATAAAAGACGCCGACGTCTCCTCTGATGATGAGCGCTAGTGTCGYGGTAGCAACATGCTATGTGTTTACATCCATGGCCACCATGTTTGTAATGACTTATCGAGAGAACAAACGTATTCACGCGTGACTTTAATAGCATTTCTTACTTAATGGAAACACCGCAGTTGCGAAACTGTTTTTCGACATTAACAGAATATCGACAAAGTTTTGCGCACATTTGCAATGGAAACACAGTTACTGCTGTGAAGTTGGATGCGCTCCTTCTCGGTGAATGCTAACTCACATGAAACCGTCTCAGTCGCCTTTTGTGGAAAAACGATATCCGCTGTGGTTCCACCTCATCTTCCACTCATGCTGAGCCCATTGTTGAAGACTCTTTGTTTGCCATAAACAACAACAACAAAAATCCTATGACCAGTAAAATCTGACATCACTCCGTGTTTGTTTACATTTTCTGAAGAAGGAAGTTGTGCTCAGTGTCGTCTTCTGGGGTTTTCATGTCGATTCATTTTGTGGGTCTTGGTAAAGCGCCACCACAGGTGAGGTGAGGAACAGGTTGTTTAGAGGCTTTGGTTCATTTGACAAAGTGCAGTGTGGGTGCAAACTGCATCAAATGAAAATGTAAACAAATCTTGCAGATTTAGTCCCCAATTGAACTAAGTCTACTGGACTATCAGGTGTGAATACGACCTAAATGAATGGGACAGTTCTCTTATTAAAAATAAAACTGAAAAGATATTTTATAAAAATTGACTCTTGTTGCTCCACATACTTCCTACCTTGCTGCTGTATATTCAAAAGAAGATTTTTTTTATAAGTTTTGCCCTAATTAGCTATTTCATACCTAAAGAAATCCCAAGTAATTGTGTGCAGGAGAGCTGGTGGAAACTGAAACCCCACATCCCAAGTGCACAGACTAGTTCTAAAACTACTTCTTTTGTAAAAAGGATCCTGTTGGCTTGAATTCCCAACAATGACAAAAGGCTAAAAGACTTTAGATTCAGACTTCGTTTATTGTCATTCAAACAACTTACAGATAAGAACTAACCCAGGACTCGATGTGTACTATGATTAAAATGCAATAAGTAAAATGACTTGATAAAAAATGTGTCACATAATTCCGCAATTTAAAATGAAACAAGAATTCAAAAATAAGGCCATAATAAAAACATTTGATTTTATTCATATAAATAAATTAATTTAAAAAAGCTAAAATAGGCAAAGCATTTTGACACAACCTAAGAGTGTTGTACCAGGGTACATGTTTCATGGTGGGGGCACAAGTTAGCATTTCAGATGCAGAAAAAAGGAGGAAAAGTATATTTAGAAAGTACAAGAGCTTATTTAACAGGTCTCTCTATTCTGGATCTCAATGAGACTACCTGTATAAATAAAGGTCAAATAAAAATAAAATAAATAAAATAGCAGCATTGTGAGCACCTCACCACCAATGGAAGTTTTTTAATTAGTTGTAATCCAGTCTCATTCGCAAGATGTTAAAAGTGTGAAGGAGCTTTAAAGAAAAAGGTTTCTCCACAGTGGAGATGAAAATGTAGTGTGATGGATAAAGATTTGTTTTAGCTTTATGGACAATAATTAATGCTTACAAATGATTTTTAAGGGAGATGTTCTAAAAAGGATTATTTGAGGAATCATTGGTTCTGAAGAAAAGCCTGACTGATTATCAAGACCAGCCCTGAGCCTCTTCACTGAGGGACTTGTTTGCCCCTCCACTAATCGTCTTTTCATTAAGCTCAATTTAAACTACTAGCATTCAAATCTCGCCAAATAAAATACTTTTTTTCTATAGCTAAAAGGGCTTTGTTCTTATCTGCATATTGTTTCTTTTCTCTGCTGTTTCTTCTCCATTTCACAAAAAGTTTCTGTGATTTTACCACAAAGATGAGTCTTGCTTTAAACTGCTTCTGGATGTTGACAAGTGCAGCCAAGAAATAGTAATAGTGAAATAGTATGTGCTTCCACAGTGAAGCATATAACTCACCAACAATGACACGGAAAGCTACGCCTAAAATGTGTTTGCTGACATCTCCCTTTCTAAAGCCTGCCACCAACTGGTCACACAGCCTGTTTGTTACACTGCACCACACCCCTGAACCTTCAGGCATTGACCATTTCAGCTCTGTAACTACCTTCCTTCAACCTAGCAGCAGCGGGGTGACTTTCACTGATCCTAACATAAAAAATACATTAAGACAGAAGGAAAGCATCTACCTTAAACCGTTTTGTGAAAGAAGCTTTAGACACATTTTCCTTTCCCCGGAACTCATTTTTTCCTGCTCGTTGATCCCGTGCAGCCCTGCTATGATCCGACGCTCATATCTGATTCTCCTGCTTCCTCCTCTCTCCCCCCTCTCACACGAGGCGTTTGTCTGCTGCCAGCATACCGGACACCACCCCCACTGCTCACAGGGAGAGGTTGACGAGAAAGCCAGATAAATCCTGAGCAGCTGAAGTGTGTCTGTTTGTGTCGGGGTCAAACCCACCATGGCAGGATGCTTTATTACAGACAATAATATTGTGTTTGTGTGTTCATTGTAAAGATGTAAGACTTTAGAAGGGCCTGCAGAGCCCGAAACCTCTGCTGAATGATTGGACAGGTTTGTTAGGTCAGCGTGTGTCTGTCCTTGTGGAGGTTCATGATCAGATTCAGKAAAGTATTTTAAAACATTTGGGGCTTCAGTTGGGTTCAGCTTGGAACCTTTTTCACTTTTGGCTTCAGAAATCTGTCCGGATCAGTTTGAGACGCTCAACTCTGTGTCAGACTGTTGAGTAAATATCTTTACCTCTGGTTTGTTTATGGGAATGTGTAGATTAGAAACAGAAGTTTCTATAGGCTTGTTTGTCTTAAAGCAGAGAGATTTGAAAGGAGCAAAGCTGGGATGAGTTCACTGCCAACTGCTTTTGACAGCCGTGGCAGCTTAATGTTTTAAGGGAATCCAAATTGTGTGCTTGTGCTG